CAACTACATTCTCTGGTGCAGATGCCTGAACACCCATGAGCACTGCCGCTCTGTGTACAGTAGCTGAGAAATATAACCAACCTGAGAGTCAGCAAATCACAGATGCAAGACTAACATGCAATATACATACATAATTTAGTTCAGTTCAAGATAAACAAAAATTGTGGAAATTGCAAAAAATGGATAGAACAAAAAGTATTATAATAAATGCTGTAACTCATACACATAGACAAATTCTATATGTTTCCCCTCTATGATCTTCATGACTTTGAATGTGTGTGTGTATGTGTGTGTTTTTTGTGTGCGTGTGTGTGTGCATACGTGTGTGATTAAGCTCAAGAGAGTATCTTTATAGGACAGAAAGCAAGAAGGGAGCTGTGAGATGTGGATATTTGGAGTGAAGTCTGGCTGGGGACAGTAAAACACACATGATATGAAAATAAGAGATAACAGGAATGAGAAGATACAGAGGGGCTAGGGAGGTAGGGATAGAGAAAAATAAAGGTTGTGGGATGGTAAAAGTATGGATGCATTAAAAAAAAGCTATATAGAAACCTGTTTGTTGGTTTTGTTTGTTTGTTTGTTTGTTTGTTTTTGTGAAACCTGCTTAAGGGAACGAGGTGAGAAAAGGGTATCCAGCAGAAATGGGAATGCTGAAAACAGGGGGTGATGGGATGAAATATATATATATTTCATTTTGTGTTTGTTGCCTATGTGGTAAAACTCTACTACTGAAAGCACTGTATGCTTGACCTGTGTCAGAGAGACAACAGGCTAGAAGCTTTCTCTTTGCGAAGAAGCTCTAGCCTTCATAGTTCCAGAGATGCCATTCAGGCCCAAGGGGGAGAAAACTTATCAATGGTCCTAGCCTGACAGGCAACTTGTGCCCACTGATTTGGTATTAGCACAACATTTAGGGTCTAATCAATGGCTTATTGATTGGATCTTATACCCAACTCAAGGAAAGAAATGTGTACTTGGTACTGTAAAGCTGCTCAAAAGCAACTAGCTATTGTGGTGGTAAGTCCTGGGGGATAGGCTTTCCTGATTATTATTTTGCTAAGTGGACATGTGGTGAAAGTAGTTTCTAAATGGGTGTATGATTAGCCATAGACTAGTACAGCTTTCAGCCTTGAGCAGAGAAGCTTCTTATTATGGAAAACAATGGTTAATGCAGGGACTCAGAAAAGAGCTTGTGAATGTGAGAAGATGTAAGTGATACAGGAAAAATGGAGGGGGAAGAAGAGTGGAAATAGTACAGATACAATATACATATGTAAAATCCCCCAAAAAACAATATTTAAAAAAATGATCAAAGTACTGAAAATAAGTAACTGCTGGGTTTTCAGCCCTGCATGGCACAACTATAACACCTGCTCTGAGGCCTAAGGAAAGCGATGGAAGAGTAGGCAGAGGGAATGTAAAAGAGATGGGGAAGGGTTTCATGAAACACTACTTTCTGTGTCCACGTGGTCATTGCTGTGAACACAGCAGTGGAGCATACCTGCAAAAACCAAAGGATGAAGTCAGGGAGCAGTAAAGAAGAGAATCAGGAGGTGTGTGGGAGGAGCATGAGAGGGGACAGTGGGTGACACTTATGACCATGTGCACTGCATACATGTATAAGACAGAAAAAATAATAAAGAAAAATAGAATCTATACATGTGAAGTTTTTGCTTCAATAATATGAAGACACATGTTTTAAGACAAGAAGAATTTATTAATTTCCTGAAAACAATGACTTAAAACAATAGTTCATGTTCTCCTTTGACTGTGACTTCAAAAACAATTTATACTATATCTTTCTTTAAAGGCTTCACTATTTTAATATAATAACAATAATAACATAATGCAAGACAGAAACTTTTCAGAAAATAGTCAACATTTTGTGAATTTTCCCAAGGCACCTAAAACCTCTCTGTTTCTTAGGCTGTAAATAAAGGGGTTTAGCAGAGGAATGATAATGGTGTAGAACAATGAATACATTTTACCCTGGTACTTATTTCTGTCAGAGCCAGACAGCACATATATGATGAAGAGAGTGCCATAGAACAAGGAGACAGACAACAGGTGGGAACTGCAAGTAAAGAAGGCTTTTTTCCTGCCCCTCTCAGACTTCATTTTCAGGATGGCAAAGAGGACACGGGCATAAGAAACTATAATACTAAAGAAAGTACTCGCTTGCATAAAAATAGCAAAAGTGAAAGCAACAAATGCATTAATAGATGGATCAGTGCAAGAAATTGTATAGAGCAGCAAGATCTCACAGTAGAAATGATCTATTATATTGGAACTACAAAAAGTTAATCTAAATAACAATCCCATATGAAGTAAGGCATGTAGAAATCCAATTAGATATAATACACTTATGAACTGAACACAGAGTCTTTTGGACATCACCACTAGATAGAGCAGAGGGTTGCAGATGGCTACATAGCGGTCATAGGCCATCGCTACCAGGAGGAAAATCTCTGCGGTTGCACTAAAACAAAAAAAATACAATTGGGCAAAACACTCACCCAGGGATATTATATCATTCTTATTCAAAAATTTCACAAGCATCTTTGGAGTCACAGAGGATGAAGTACAGGCATCCGCAAAGGCTAAATTTCCCAGGAAGAAGTACATGGGGGTGTGAAGGTGGGGGTCCTTCCAGATGAGAAAGATTAAGCCAAGGTTCCCCACCATGGTGATGACATAGACGAGGAAGAACACCAGGAACAGGGGCACTTGCAGCTCTGGACGATCCGTTATTCCTCTAAGAACAAACTCAGTCAGCTGGGTCCTATTCACCTGCATTACATCCACCCACGTTGCTCACTACAAGAAGAGAAGAGATTATTTTAAATGTAACCAAGACTCGGTAAGAATGACATCAGATTGAGTCCACTTTCCTATGCACCAGGTTCTCCTCAGGCAACAGAAAGAAAGGTGTCATGTTTCTGCTTTTTAAACATACCAGAAACAGAAAAACATTTTCTGAACAGTTTTAATGTATAATTTTTCAACATCCAATTATTTCAAAAATAAATAATGAGACCATACATACTAATTTACCTGGTCTGTGCATATCTGAATCTATTATAAATTGTGTGTGTGTGTGTATGAGAGAGAGAGAGAGAGAGAGAGAGAGAGAAAAGAGAAATTTTATACAGAATTTAGAATGACAAAATATATAATATGTTTTATACTAATAGGACTTTTTGCTTGTTTGTTTATATTTGTCTTGTTTTGTTCTCTGTGTAGCTCTGGCTGTCTTGGTACTAGCACACAGACAAGCCTGGACTCACACTCAGATCCACCTGCCTCTGTCTCCAGAGTGCTGACATGTGCCACAGCACCAAGTTTACACAAAGATACCTTCAAGAGGCACTAGCGTAATTTGGAAAATCTTTCATAATTTCTTATAAAAATGCTATGTATTCTATTAATAATAAATTATTATTGTACAAAGTGGTAGTTTATTTTCATCCTATTGTATGTACTTTGAAAATACACCCCGAAGCAGCTCCCATTTTCCTTTCTCTTTTCTACTCCTCTTTCTACTTCAGACAATATCATTTCTACTCTCATTTTAGGCATACATGTATGTTCTCTTAAAGTTTTACATGGTAAAAATACTCAACAAGTCTTTGGTATTACTTACATGTGTAATTCTTTCATCGTAAGATCTTAATAGTCAAGTGATAAAAATAATAATTTAAAATTTTATTTCTTCTGTTTCCTACTCTTTACATGATCATAGCTTTAAAAAAAACCTTTGTATTTCTTCTCAGTAAAATGTATGAAAAGAAACAGTAAGTTTCTTTCAATTTCAAGAATGAGATTTTCAAAAAAAAGCAGAATATAACATTACAAAAGAAATAGTAGAGGAAAAAAGACTGTTTTCAACATCTGGATTCAATTTTTATGCTGAAGTTTACAATGTTTATGAAAAAACAGAGAAATGGAAGAAATAGAAGGAGTGTGAAAATGGCTTAGTGGTTAAGAGCTACCTGCTCTTCCAAATGACCCCAGCTCAGTTCCCAGCTCATAACCAAATGTAAGTCCAGTTCCAGAGCACTAACTTGATTAAGCACATATAACCCAAAATTTCATAACCCATGAGTCTATCTATGACTTACTATTATTCATAACACGTTTATGAACTTTGATGTAAGGTTTCAACATAATATACTTGGTTTCTACGATGTAATTAATACCCCTCAGTACTCACTAAGACTAAACTCCCCATTCTTATCAAGAGCCTTAACTTAGAGGTTACCTGCCAGGACTTCACAAAACCTCGTGATGGAGATCAAATCTTTGGTCCACAAGCAGGTAACTATGAGTCCGTAGGGATTTAGCTCTTTTGTTTGGAATGCATGTGTTCTCTTTATTAGATAAATCCCCTAAAAAGGTATTTTCACATATATTGTTAAATATATTTGAAAAAGGCTTCACATTTGATATGGGCATCATTTACCTTTTGAAAAAGAAAGTAAAATAAAATGTTGTTTTTCTCACCCACGGATGCAAGGAGAAAAATCGTCATGAAGAACATTTTAAATGAAGGAACAAGGGTATCAAGAATTGTTCTTAACATGTTAATTTTCTGTAAGAAACAGGATGGAGGGAATGCTATTTATTTCTTCAATCCTCTTTGTGAGATGAACACCAAAACTCCCTAAATGCTAGCCAAAACTCCCTGTAGGTTACAACCAATCTGCTGGGCATTCTTCACTAATCAGCAGATTAAACTAATAAAGCTATTGTAACTGTCCTTATATATTCTCTATTTCTTTCAAAAACTAAAGTTGTAGGTCAGTTATAAGTTAAAAGAAATGTTTACTCCATTGAGATTCTTTAAATGATGTAACAGATTTGCCTTCTAAATTTGCCTTTATGCAATAAGCATGCTGTCCTGCATTGAAAAACTATTTCTATGAATACGTAGATATTACATATGAATATGTATATTAATGATATTGCTAACAGATATCAAATGTTACCGTACCATTTGCTACTTTTAGCCACTATTATGAGAATTCAGCTTCTAGCAATGAGACAGCAGGCTGCTTCACACCCTTCTTACACTAAAAGAAATTATTGAATGATGTCATTGGCAATGTACAGTCATATCCCAGAGATGAAATCAACAAAGTTGATGCAGTTCAATCTACTTACATATCTTAAAAATGTTAAGGCAAAAAAATATGTAAATACAAGAAAAACAAATTGTTTCAATCCCACTGATCACTGATGAATACAGATAACATGTAAGCAATTCCTGCCTTCTGAACATTCTTAGGTTTACATTTGCACATTCACTACTAGCCACAGCATATATTTATTTTAAGCAATAAAATTTCTTACTTGGCTGTAGTATTATCATTAAAAAATATATCATTTTAACCTTCTAGAATTGTAAAATGATGTTCAAACCATCGACATATTGTTCACAAGTTTGTTTATAAAACGGAGCAGATTTATAATGCATACTTGGAAATAGCACATCGTAAACTTTAGACTATGCAGAAATGATAGTGTGTGGTGTGTGTGTGTCTGTGTGTGTGTAGTTTGCTGGAAAATTTTACATCTTCATTTTATAAAATATCATGTGCTTTCTCATTTTAATCACCTTTCATGATATTCTTGCTTGTTTTTTTTTTAAATCTAACTCTTATCAAACGCATGGCTTGAATATGTTTTGTCCCATCATATGTTTTATTTACATATGAAGTATATTATAATATGTTCATTCACTTATTTTGGTGGGTTTTGGGAAAAAGATTTATGGTCTAATTTAACTTTTTTTTGCTTATAATTTTCGGGGTAATGTTCAATAAATGATTGTCCAAGACAACATATGGCAGGTTTTGCTTCTTGGAGGGAGTAAACACTATGAATAAACTTTATTTAAGCCACTAACTTATTTTGAGTTGACTTTATATGTAATGAGTCCTCATTGCGTATTAGTAACTTTAATTTTTCTGAAAATGAATGCGTAATTTTGAACAGCCTGTGTTAGAGAGTATCAGTTTCTCGGTTTTGTTATTGACACGTTTCTGTGCTCTGTTATCAGGTCACTTTGGCAATGTGGCTAATTTTAGATAACTATCCTGATGTTTGTAGCTGCTCAGTTATGAACACTCAACCCATTAAGGATTTTTCATTTATCAAATTACTATATAATTTTGATCCTATATAAGATAAAATCATGATAAAATATTTCGACAAGAAAATTTTATCTTAATCAGAAAGATAATCTTAAAAAAACAACATGCATAAATTTAAAAGTGACAGAGAACAACATTGCACCATATCGTAAAGTGAGCGATAAGAACTGAAACTATGCTCAATATCCCAATAAACTATCATAGATACAAAAGTCCTAAATACTAGGTTTCTGCAGTAAAGCCATAGGAGAGGCAGAGTTACAAAGTTACTTTAAAATACACAGCTTAAGGTCTAAAACACTAATGAAATAAATTCTCTAAGCCTTGATATTCTCATTTTTAAAGTCAATAATAGGAACTTAGTAAGGTTGTTGCAAGAGTAACATGAAAGAACAAATAACAAGCCCTTCTTGCTCTTGATAGAGAGTAGGGAATGGTGAGTTAATATATTTTTATCGTTTGATTTATGTGGAGAGAAATTTGCACATCTTTTGCAAGAGACAAGAGTTTAGGGGAGTAAAACAGGGACATTTGCTGTTCTGTTGGCAATTTGTGATAACAGTTTAACTCTGTACATTAAGAAAATCAACGTTTACGTATAGTTATGCTGCCTGTAGGTTACAGAGAACAGAAAGTGATTTAGATGGAATAATATGAGACATATTCAAAGAAGAAAAATAGCTGTAGGTATAACTATGTTTTAATGAAACTTACATTTAATATTTTATAGGTAAATACTTCAGCCTGCATCTATCAAAGACCTTCTCCCTCCTGCAGTTGTCTTATCATTTTGAGATCTGACAGAGGTAATATAAACGAAGAATACCAAGTACAAGGATACTTGCAGCTATCAGTACTGTTCATATTCATCACATCCCCTCAGTTTGCTCACTACAGAGACAAGAGATAAATAAAGATCGAGACTCAGTGAGGATGGAATTAGACAAAGTTCACATTCCTATATGTTCCTTAATCAACAGAACAGTGAGCTTCTGCTTTTAAAGCATAAGAGAAACAGAATGCTTTCTCTGAATAATTTTGATGTGTATGTGTCTCAACATGTAATTTTTAAAGGTAATCGAGAGGGCCATAGATGCCAAATCACTTGGCTTTATTCATATTAGTCTGAATCACTATAAAGTATATAAAAACATAATGGATACCTTTCATACAGAATTTAAAATGAAAAATGCATATTATATTTGATATTACAATATCTTTTTATTGTGTTTCAAACTTTATTCCAATCTCTCTCATTTTTAAAAAAATTTTATTTATATTTTTACAACTTAGTCATTTTGTATCCCAGCTGTAGCCCCCTCCCTCTTCTCCTCCTAGTCCCACTCTCCCTCCGTCCTTCTCTCCCTATGCCCCTCCCCTAGTCCACTGAAAGGGGAGGTCCTCCTCTGCTTGTATCTGACTCTAGCCTGTAAGTCTTATCAGGACTGGCTGCATCATCTTCCTCTGCGGCCTGGCATGACTGCACCACCCCAGGAGGGAAGTGAGACAGTTTTCAAGTCTGTATCATCTAAAGAAAAGAAGGCAACAATAGCCAGATCTAGAAGAAATGAATAAGTGAACAAACGAGTAAAAGAATAAATCATAATCATAGGAGTGAGTGTTTCCTGTACCCATTCAATTTAT